CAAGAATCAGCAGCTGCAGTTACGCTGTAGTTGTGCTGATGTTCTGCTCATGCGCCGCTCACACTTGCAGTCTAAACTCATCATAAGAAGAACATTCCACATTATTAAGCAGGCTACAGGTTTCACACAATATGGGGAAGAAAAAAAGGGAAAAAAAAGTCTCCTACGCGAGAAGTGCCAACTAGTGCACTGTAAGGCATTGCAAAAACATTAGATGAAAAATATTAGGTAGAATAAGCAAGATTTCTGCCAGACAAATTCATTGTATAAAGAAAACAATGAAAAGCAGTAAACAGGTAATTGAAGGAGTGTAAGATTCTTCCGAGGCTTGCAGTTGTGCAAAACTATTTGATGCTCACATGCAGAAAATGTTGCAGTAGGCTCATAAACTTGTTGTTTACAGATTAATAGTATGCAATGCTAGATAGTCCAGATAGATGGAGTTGTGGGTGGAGGGCCCCCATCTTCCAAGAAGGCTGCAATGTCAGCAAGGATGTGGCATAGTCATGTTTTGGGCCAGAATCATTAGTGGAGGGCTAGTAGGCCTCTTTACAGTCCCTGAAGGTATAAAATGACCTTTGCAAAGTGTGTTTATTTCTGACTGACTATTTTTTTCATGGTAAAAATAGAAGAACACTGCCTTCAATAGCAAAAATATCTTCTTGCATGACAATGAACCATATCATACTGCAATGAATGCCTCAATTGGCTGCTATGAGCATAACAGGAGAGTGTGGCCACCATCCTCTATTGACCTCAACCATATTGAGAAACTTTGAGGCATCTTCAAGCAAAAGATGAGGGTGGGAGGCAGATAGAGTCAAAACAGCAGCTCTGAGGGGCCATTCTGACATTCTGCAAGGAAATTCAAACAGAAACTCAAAACTCCAATGGATGCAAGTATTGTGAAGTTGGTATCGAAAAGGAGGGTTTATTTTAATTGTAGTTTGCTCTGATATGATGTTTCTGACTGCAATAGTGTGCATAATGCAAATTAAACAAATGATAGTGTTCATACAACAGCATCCATCTCTGCAATGACTCAAATAACCTATCAATAGTCATCTGGTATGACAAATAAAGCATTCTTGCCAGACTCCCAGAGTTTATCAAGATTCTTTGGATTCATCTTCATGCCTCCTCCTTCATACCCGAGACATGCTCATTAATGTCCATTTCTGGGGACTAGACTGGCCAATCCTGCAGCATTGATCGTTTTTGCTTTCAGGAACTTTGATGTGGAGGCTGAAGTACGACGAGGAGCGCTATCTGCTGTAGAATTTGCCCTCTCCTGTGGTTTGTAGTGTAATGGGCAGCACAAATGTCTTGATACCTCAGGCTGTTGATGCTGCCATTCACTCTGCAGATCTCTCACATGCCAACATACTGAATGTAACCCCAATGATTTTTCCTTTACCAAACTTGACTGATTTCTGTGAGAATCTCGGGTTCATGCAGGTTCCAATAGGTCTTCTGCAGTATTTGTGATGATTGGGATGCAGTTCAACACATGATTAATCAGAAAATCTACCTTCTTCCACTTTTCCAAATGATCAACTAGAAGCCAATTTATTATGTGTTGCTTCTAAAACTGGGATTGACAACAAGACTTTTGTCAGCTATATGTCAGTATATGTTCAACTTATTATATCAAACAGTTATCAAACATGTGTTATCATTTTAAGGAAATATATTTCAGTTTTTTTTTTATTGCTCAGATATAGCTATTTATATTTTCTTTTTTCTTTAAAAATGCTTCTATCTAAAACATAATTTCTAATAACTGATTTATTTTATCTTTGCCATGATGGTAGTACATAATATTTTCCTAAATATTTTTTCCAGAAACTATTATTTAGGTTAAAGTCTAATTTAAAGGCTTAACCAGGTTAACTAGGTTACCTAGGCAAGTTAGGGTAATTAGGCAAGTCATTGTATTACAGTGGTTTGTTCTGTGGACAATAAAAATGCTTAAAGGGGCTAATAATACTGACCTTAAAATGTTTTTTTTTTGTTGTTTAAATCTACTTTTATCTTAGCAAAAATCAAACAAATAAGACTTTGTTTATAGGACATATCTAATGCACATCTGTAACAGTGTGGTTGTGGGCATCCATACCCTTAGAGGAATCTTAAATCCTCTTCATTCCAACATTTATTTGTTTTAGAGAGTCTGAGCAGCTCCATTTGTCTTACAACCACAATCTGGTATTACTCTTTAGGAAAACTCATCTTCCCCCTGACATAATGCTGTTTATTATCGCTTTGAGCTGCATGGGAGGTTTAGAGATCATAATCTTCTGAGATTTTTTTTTCTTCCTTTTTTTTTTTTTTTTTAGTCCAGGTCATTGACCGAGGGTAGGTACAGTGTTGGTGTCATAAAACCCACCAAATACCAGGTGCCAGTCTAAATATCAGTTTTGATGTTTTTCTTTCGTTAATGCTGTAAGTTTTTTTTTGTTTTGTTTTTATTTTACCCTCTGTCCACATGTTCTCATTTTGTGAGAACATCCATGCTGTGGATGTTATTTCTGTGATTCTTCATCTTGTTCTCCTTTAATTGTTTCCATCCAGTAGAGTTGGAGAGATAAGTTTGGCTGTTGCATTCACAGAATGTTCTGGTAAACACAAATACTCATGCACGTATCTGTTTGGCTAGCTTTTTTTTTCATATTATGTCAGTTTATGTTGAGCATAGTCCCATGGATTTAATTATACCAAATTCAAAGCAAAAAAGCATTTTTTTTTTCAGATAATAACACTAGTGTAGTAAATAGAGAAATCATTTGAAAAAGTAAGATGTTTGGCCAGTGGTGATATTGATATGTTGGCTCCAATGTGCATGGTTTGGGACTTGTCGAGCTGTGCATAGATAGATTTGCTCTTCAGTGTTTGGACTTTCAGCAGTGAAAATTAAACCACACTGAACTGAAGTAACTCTGAAAACTGGACTAACACAGTTTCAGTTTACTATAATCTTCTACGTTAAGCTGCTTTGACACAATATACTTTGTAAAAGCACTATAGAAATTAAGATGAATTGAATTGTAAATCATTCATTTATTCCTTCATTCATTCAATTTAGACAAAATATGTCAGCTCAAACATGATTTTATATAGACCTACACACAATTAGGAGGGTTTTATATACTGAGCTTGAAATATAGACTATATTCATTGATATGCTAGCTTAATTTTATTATGAAGCAGTATTTTTTTTTTGTTTATACTTGTAATCTCAATTAAATAACACTTTTTTTTTTTTTACCTACCACTGTAATTAAGCTATTATTGAAGAAATCCAATGATAAAGAAAGTGATTTGTTTTGAATTCGACAAAAAGTGTCACATTAAGTATAGGACCCGATGTTCAAATGAGTAAATGTGTTCCCATTTATCCCACAATATCAAAATATACATTCTAGATTATGAGGTTCGGGTTTGGTTATCTGCCATAAAAGCATTATTGTGCATCATTAGCAGGTCTGTACATTAATGTGGTTGGAAAAGGTAAAGCAGCATTTTTATATTAGCTAGTAAAGCAGATAAATCTGATGAGATCATACTTGTCCTCACATAACATTCACCTAAATTATCATTATTATGCCTTTATAATTGATGTTGTGTTGTGTTTGTTGTGTTTTATAAATATTATGTATTTATTTGTATGAAATTTTTGTTTTATCCTTTCAACAACAACGGGTACCTGCACTGTGGAAGCAGTCTACAGTAATTCCTGTGCCAAAAAAAAAAAAAAAAAAACAGAAACCACAGAAGTTTAAATCTGTGGCACTTACATCTTTAGTTATAAAAAGTTTTGAAAAGATAGTTAAGAGGGAAATTACATATAAGACTCACAGTGTTTTAGATACCTTTGAGTTTGCATATACAACAGGTAGAGGATGCAGAAGGAAGTCTACTGCACTTAGTTCTTAAGCATCTTGAAAAGCCTAAAACATTGGCCAAGTTACTCTTTATTGACTTTTTTATTGTTTGCTTTTTAATACCATTCAGCCACATGCTTTGGTTGAGAAACTTATTAACGAATTTAAGTTGGATCGAATGCTTGTAGGTTGGATTTTGTAGGTCCTCCAACAACAGGCACTACATCATAATCATGCCCCCCACGAGAGCAAGCTGCTGATTGGTTAACACGACGCAAATGTCTGCTTAAGTTCAGATTTTTTCGAGCGTTTAGAAAACAGATGACTATGACACAGTTATACCATAGACAAGTTTTGAGTAAAGCTCAGAGTATTCTGTCAGATAAATCCCATCCTATGAACAACGAGTTATTATCTTTTCTCTTCTGGTATTCGATATAGAACTCCTATTAGTAAAACAAATTGGTTTAAACTTTCATTTGTCCCATCAGCTGTAAAGTTTTTAAAGTTAGGGTAGACTTTGTATTGTACAATGTGCTTTTGTGTATTATGTGTAACAAGCTTGTATGCTGCAACCAAATTGCCTTCGGAAAAAATTTATAAAGACGTTAAAATTCATTTTTGCATCAGCAATTCATTGTTATGGAAAAAAGTAATGACTTGCTTATCAATTTTTATTATACATTAACTTAGGCACATTCCTGATTATGAGTGTAAGGAATTGACTTTAAACTCATTGTTTTAGTCTCACAGCAGTTTACACTGAGGGTGCATTTATAAAACAACAATGTACTAAAAAACTTTTGACAGCTGAATGCCCGTTTTACAAGAAACTTGCCTAAAATATTGCGTGTCAGTTGGTGATGATTATTCGTAAACACCATGTGCCTTTGGCAATACAATTCTTTTTTTTTTTTAAGCATATTATTGCAAATATCTAATACACAAGCCTGACATCCCCATTTTCATTTTTTATTTTTGTTTGCACAGAAATAAAATGGATTAATTTTTCAAACAGTTGAAAGGCTTTTTAAAAACTTTTAAAAAATTTGATATTACCTTTATGTCCATGCTGATGTGTAAAAAAAGACAAAAAAAAAACTTTACTTAAATATAGTGTCATATAAATGTCCCTTTATTTACACAGCAACCAAATTAGAGGGTTCCAATTCAAGTTATTAAAACTTTCATAATGCTATAAAATATTCTTTAGAGTTTCTTATAATTTTTTTAAAGTGGGAAATCTAGTAGCTTATACTGAGGTGGCTGGACTGGAAAATTCAGTGGACTACTGAAGTGTTAACATGTACAACTCAAACATAACGATGTGGCAAGCATTTGATAAATTCACAGCTAAAATATTGGGAGTAAAATAAATAATAATAATTTAGCACATGAAATTGTACAAAATCTATACTTTTTATGAAAACACACACACACACACAGACACAGAATGTGCATGGAAAGTCTTTACAGAGCAACTGTGTCCACTTGACATTTGAAGAAGTCCATACTCAGAACATAGCACTGAAAACACATGTTGGAGGACCTACAGGTCTAATTTGTTTTCTGCCAAACAAACTGGACCAAACTGGGCTGAAGGCGATCGTTCCAGTTCGCTATGCAGTTCTCCATCTTATACTCCTTCATGAGCAGTACTCGTTCTGTCGTTCTCTTGTGTTGTTTGATTTCATTCTCTCAGTGTTTGTCTCTCTATGGTCATATCTTTTCACTCTTCTGTGTTACATTTTTGGAGCTGGCTCCCCTGATGGCTTTATAGATGTTTTGCTGGGCCCTTGTGGTCTCTGCCGAGGAAGTCCAGCCAACTGTGACGTAGGTCAGTTCTTTTCCCTGTTTCTTCCCTTAGTGTCTTTTTCTTTCAGCCATGCTTGGCACTCTCAGCCATCCTGCTCCTGAAGATTAGAGCTGAAAAACAAAATCAATAAATAAACAAAAGTATGCAATTGTTACTGTTTTTTCTGCATTACAATTATATCTTGTTTTCAAAATCCATGTTTGACAATCTGTTGCATGTGGCACATTCCTTCTATTCAAATGTAGGACACACTAAATTCAAGGTGACTTCAATAATAAATTAGAGTTGTTTTTATCATTGCGGTTTTTAAAATGAAAAAGAAAGTTCAATCCTGACAATTCTATTTTTATACTATAAAATTACCAATAAATTACAACAAAACAGTATAGAGTTTCCTAAACACAAGTAACAATATAAAAATTGCTGGGTTCCACACAATTTCTTCATGTTGTCACAATGACACAAAATGATTAAGTTAAGTAATTATTATTATTATTATTATTATTATTATTATATAAATTTAAGTGGATTTGAACATAAAACAATTAAGTTGTTTTTAAAACTTTTGTTGTTTTTGAATTTTAAGTAAAGTTTATTGATAAACTAATTTTTGCGATTCCTAAGCCACTATAAATACCCTAAGTTCTATATTACAGCCACCTTTGTTTTGAAGAATCCCCCCTTCCACCCCTACTCCTCCTCCATTCCTAGATGGGTGGCACGGTGGCCCAGTGGTTAGCACTGTTGCCTTACAGCAAGAACGTCAATGGTTCTAGTCCTTACCAAGCTGAAGATTCTGTACAGTTTACACATTCTCCCGGTGCAAAAATAACGGCACCATAGACATGCTTCTAGTTAGTAGTTATCTCTTAAGAGTAATCGCTATCTGTTCATTAGCTACTACAGCAGGGGAGTTCACAAGATCTACCTGAGCTGAAACTCCACTCTCGCCTTGCAAACAAGAAGAAGCCCCGGGTTCGATGATCTTATGAGCTCAGGGCTCTCTCCCGGGACAACATGCCAAACAAGCCTTATAATCAATCATCAGCTAAGGGTGAACTCTTAAATTAAGTTAATAAATAAGTAATTTGAACAAGCAGCAACAGTCAGTTATTTTTGAGTGCAGCATATTTAAATTATTTCTACATGTGGTACTAGTGGAAGATTAAGGAGTCCTAAAATTGATCTTTGTCATCATAGGATTTTTTTCTACATTTACATTATAATTTGAATGTTAGATCAGCAGTGGTGGAAAGAGTACTAAAAAACCTTACTTAAGTAAAAGTAACATTACTTGCCAAAAATGTAGTGCAAGTAAAGTAAAAGTATCTGTTGTAAATATTACTCAAAGTATGAGTAAACAATGTATACATACTCAAGAGTAGTGTGTAGTGAGTATTACGCTGCAAGAAACTGATGCATTTACATGTAATTTGTGGATGTGTGTAAATGTAACCTTCTGTAGTGCATTTAGGCTGCATTTACACGGCAGATCTTGATAGTCAATTCCGATTTTGTGACTGTATCCAATTTTTTTTTTTTTGCTTACATAATCTTTTAAAAGTGACTCTATCCAATCGTCCGCATTTACACAGCACACAGCAAAGGTGCAATGAGCAGGTAAAAAAAAAAGCGGTCGCTGACTGACAGCTGAAAATGAAAGAGTGCTCTTTACTCTATTCCTGTATGTAATCTGTTCGCAGCTTTTGACAAGCTGTTTTACTATAGTTTATGACAAAAATGTTCTCATTTGTCCATCTTCTTTTGATATATAGGCTTTTTTTTTTAAACCTTTAGGCTTCTTAATGTAATGTCCATGGAGCAATTTATGCACATGATGTATGCACTTGTTTTATATTAGAGTATATTGGTTACATGGCGGACATTGTGCTCTCTCGCTCTTGTTAACATACTTAAATACCTGTGCTATATGACAATTTAAAAGCTAAAGCTGTTAAAGTCCTCGTGTATGAGATTTAAGGTTTAAGACTCTGCTTAAGTCGGTTCTGTAAAGTGTCAGACTTGATGTCATTAGCTATGGTTTTAATGACGCGCGACTCACATTGACAGGTGAAAATCCGATCTACCTGCTTACAATGCTGACACGAGGCCACAGATCAGATTCATGTCGGATACATTTTCACATATGAACAAAGCCTGAATCTGATAGTAAATCGGAATCCATGTGATTTGTTCCTGCTTACACGTGCATGGGCCATTTCCGATCTTTGCCACAGTGGAGAAAAAAATCTGAATTGAGTCACTTGAACAGTGCAGTGTAAATGCGGCCTTTATTATTGCCCTGAAGGCAAGCAGCATCATACGACATTAATATTAGGTTGTGATGTCAGGTGACCAAAATTTAATGTCTAGCCAGCGTCTAAGGACAAAAAAGTGTTGATGCCCGAAAACAGCGTCAAATGACAATGATATTTTGTTGGTTTTAGGTTGTGTTGGAAAGAGACCAAAATCCAACATTAAGCCGACATCTTAAACCAACCTCATATTGATGTCAAATATTGACATTTATTCATCTGGTATGGCCACCTAAATTCAACATCTGATATCTGACATCATTGTGGCAACGTCCAAACAACATCAAGCTGTAACATCATTAGATGTTGATATTTGGTTGATTTTAGGTTGGACATTGAGGTTGACCTGATGTTGGGTTCTGATGTCAACCCAAGTTTTATTTTCAAACAAAATGCAACAAGCCCACGACCTTGGTGTACAACGTCAATCTGATGTAATTACCCCATTTTGGTCATCATAACATTCGTCATCTAGTCATCAGTGACATGCATCTAAACAGTCTCTGGATCAATGCTTGTATCAATTTTGGACATCTTCTTGGACACTTTTAATGCTTCCAAACAGTTTGCTGCAATTATAAATCGCTCATGTCATGATGTAGTTCATTATGATACGATTTACCTGTGTGATTTGATTGGACAGGAACCACAGGACTGATTTTTCTAATCCTAATAGACAAGAAAAAGTGAAGTATTGACTGCAGGTTGAAGGAAAGTAGTGGGGTCTAAATACTGATACTGCACGAAAAAATGTACTGAAAGGAAAGTAAAAGTAAAATTTTTTAAAACTGCTTAGTAAATTGCAATTCCTGAGGAAAAAAAAAAAAAAAACTACTTAATTGCATTAGTTTGAGTATTTGTAATTTTTTACTATACACCACAGCTGATCACTGATGTGATCGGACTTTGTTTAAAGTATTTTTAAATGGGTGATTGGATAAGCAAATCATTTTCTTCTTCTTCAAACTGAATGATGTTATGAGTCTTGTTTTCAATGATATATTGTTTGTTTAATAATTTGGTTATTTATATGTTTAAAAGATTACTTTAAGGCTGCATGGTAGTGCACCGCAAGAAGATCACTGGTTCGAGCCTCTGCTGGGTCAGTTGGAATTTCTGTGTGAGTTTGCATGTTCTCCTCATGTTTGTGTGGGTTTCCTCCGGATGCTCCGGTTTACCCCACAAGTCCAAAGACATGTGGTATAGGTGAATTTGGTAAGCTAAATTGTCCGTTGTGTATGTGTGTGAATGAGTGTGTATGGATGTTTCCCAGTCATGGGTTGTAGCTGGAAGGGCATTCGCTAGGTAAAACATATGCTGGATAAGTTGGCGGTTCATTCCGCTGTGGCGACCCCAAATTAATAAAGGTACTAAGCCGGAAAGAAAATTAATGAATAAAAGAACATGGTAGAAGAGATTTTTCGAAGTGCATTGATTATGTGGTTGTTTCAGCATGCATAAATGAAAGATGTACTTTCACTTATACAAAATGGAGAGACATTTCGAAGTGCATTGAATACACAGTTGTTTTTGGTGTGCATAAATGGAAAATCTACTTTGACGTAAGTTTGTTTGGTATATGATGAGTTGAACTAAAACAATTATTGAATTAAAGTATTAATTTAAAGCTTTTTTATTTTTGTTCTTTCTTTATTTAAATATTGATTTCAACCCAAGCTCATTCTGAAAATGTAGTCCCGCGGACATTTCTGGAGACCACGATTTTTGTAACCAAAGCTATGTATGGCAGCATTTCATTTTTTTTAAGCGAACGCTACGGGGCGGTGTGAAGCCGTTCCTCTTCGTGCTCGCCGGCTGACAGCTTACCTCCGTGTGGAGGGCTTTCCCGCCACAACCAGTTTGTCCAGTTAGCTCGTCGTGTATGTTGGCGACCGGGTTCGAGTTCGGGGAAGAGCGGTTCCAGAAATCAGATAAGACAAAAACAGAATACAAAAAATAAAGTGAATGAGTTCGTAACAGGGTGAGAATTTGGTGAAATCTGAAAAAAGTGGTCAAAATCAGACAAGGGCTTTTCTTTTTCTGGACGGCTTTTGTAAAGCGTTGCTTAGGTTTAGGGAAGTAAGCGTATGGGGGGCGGGTGGGCAGGTCAATCGGTAAAACCGGTTGGGTTTAGGGCAGGAGGAGGAGGAGGGTGGGTCGGCCGGTCAATCATTCAGTCAGTCAGTCAGACAGACTTAACAGCGACCTTCGGTGGCTTTACGCGAGAAACGTTAGAGTTGTGAAAAAGCGCACACAGCATTCTCTTGTGGATTCGCGAAAATAAAAACTGCACAAATACGCACCTGCCAGGACATATTTTGTGGTCTCCAGAAACGTCTGTGGGACTATGTCTTCAGAATGAGCCTGGGTTGATTGATTTGGTTGATTGAAATTTGATTTGGGTTTATTTGATTATATCATACAGTTGTTGAAACTTTATTTTATTTTTTTTTATTGAATTATTTAAGTAACTGTAGTGTTTTACTCTGGTGCCCGAACCCATTTTATCAGCCAAACACCACTACAGAGCATTCTGAACATTCTTTCAAAATCATTATAAAAAGCAAAAAGTCTCCCAAGTATTTGAACTTTTGTTTAAATGCCAGAATGTGAACTTGTTGTCCTCTTGAAGTGTCTTTGCTCATGTCTCATCTTGCCTGAGGCAGCAATTGAACTAAGAGTCCAAACTAGTGCCCCCTCATAAATGTGTGTGTCTGACGCTTCAGGTTGGTGGGTAATCTGTAGCAGATGGTTGAAATGCTGCCAATTAGAAATGAAAAACGGTTGGGTCCGTA